GAAGAATTTAAAGAAGAAGAGGAATTTCAAGAAGAAGAAGAAGAAGAAGAATATCAAGAACAAGAAGAAGAAGAATAAGAATTTCAAGATGAAGAAGAAGAAGAAGAATTTCAAGAATAAGAAGGAGAAGAATTTCAAGAAGGCGAAGAAGAAGAATTTCAAGAAGATAAGGAAGAAGAAGGATTTCGAGAAGGAGAAGAAGAAGAAGAAATTCAAGAAGAAGAATAAGAAGAATTTCAAGAAAAAGAAGACCAAGAAGAGGAATTTCAAGAAGAAGAAGAAGATGAATTTCAAGAAGAGGAAGAAGAAGAAGAAGAATATCAAGAAGAAGAAGAAGAATTTCAAGAAGAAGAAGATGAAGAATAAGAATTTCAAGAAGAAGAAGAAGAAGAAGTATTCCAGGAAGAAGAAGAAGAAAGGGACTTTCAAAAAAAAGAAGAAGAATCTCAAGAAGGAGAAGAAGAAGAATTTCAAGCAGAAGTAGAAGAATTTCAAGAAGAAGAAGAGGAAGAATAAGAACTTCAAGTACCAGAAGAAGAAGAAGAAGAATTTCAAGAAGAAGATGCAGAAGAAGAATAGCAAGATGAAGAAGAAGAAGAAGAATTTCAAGAAGAAGAAGAAGAAGAAGAATTTCAAGAAGGAGAAGAAGAAGAAGAATTTCGAGAAGGAGAAGAAGAAGAATTTCAAGAAGAAGAAGAAGAAGAATTTCAAGTGGAAGATGTGGAAATTCAAGAAGTATTTGAAGAAGAAGAAGATGAATAGGAAGAAGAATTTCAAAAAGAAGAAGAAGAAGAATTTCAAGAAGAAGAAGAAGAATTTCAAGAAGAAGAAGAAGAAGAAGAAGAAGAAGAATTTCAAGAAGAAGAAGAAGAAGAATTTCAAGAAGGAGAAGAAGAAGAAGAAGAATTTCAAGAAGAAGAAGAAGAAGAAGAATTTTCATTGTTGAGGTTGTCATGGTAGATGTTCTTCCATTTGGTACATATGGGACTAAGGCGGTACACGTTTCTTAATATCATAATTAAATTAGACTTTCAGATGTTTGCTGATTTGGATAATTACTAAAAAACAATAATAAAAGCTACAATAACGACACAAATATATGTAGCTCAGGTTCACATATCTTAGAATTCTTCTAGTCCTGTCACAGCAAATTTGTCAAGCGATATGCAAGATGTCACTGTATTCACCCCATTAGAATGCTCTCTGCCATTTTTTAGCATAGGAAATTTTATACAGAAATACTAGCGTTCACATTGCTCGAAAAATCGCAACTTACATTTTTTATTCACAAACTTTCATTTATTTTTCATGAAATGTAATGTTGAAAATTTACAGTCACGCTTTCAATATCGGAGAAAATATTGTCAACTGGAATGATCAGACTGTCATTGTGGAACATCCAAGAACGAAATTAATCTAGCCGAGTGAACTTCATAATAAGCCGTTGACAAAGCAACCACCCAACTGATGGGGCTTTTTATCCACAACTGGTGTAAACTTGACCGAAAGAGTGTTCATTTGTTTTCGGTTTAACTCCGTTTCTGCGCTCCGAATTTGAATCATTTGCTACGTTTCATTTCCCAAGGTGCATGATTCATTTCCTTACCACGGGTAAAATTGAAGTGAACGCAAAGTTCAATAGACAGTTTCTCGATTTTATTTCAGTGCTTAGAATGAAACTGGAGTTTTACAGTTCTTTATCATACCGATTAACAACCATTCCATTTTTGTACGCAAAACAATCAAAAGATAGGGTTGGGGTTATCCACAAGTTTGCGTCCAATCCCGATATAATAAACCGACATCTCGATGTCCCAGAGTGCACCCCTCTGCTGAACTGTGTTCCTAAAGAACGAAACACTCGATGAATTTCCGGAAAAATTGGGCGATCTAACGTTCATGATTGCCATTACTTACCAACGGGCGGTGGTGACCCGGTGGTAACGTCACCAACTTGTCACCCCGGGGATGCGTGTTGGAATCTCAACACCAATTTTCCCTATTGTGTGTTGAATG